ACAAACGGGTTTCTGTACTAATCAATGGCCAGTTTTTTTCGCAGATCTGCTTATTCCGAATTAGACCTTAAATAGTCATATGCTTTTCGAAGCGACCTCTGTCCTTTCTATCCTAAGCATATTGCATTTTCTCTCCACAAAAATGCTCATAAGTCGGGCCAGTGATACAAATGTGGCGGAAACAGGGACGTTAATTTTTTAATTGCACACCTTCTGAGTGACCGTGATTCAGGGTCACGCACTACATAAAATTAATGTGCCTTGACGTAGATTGATTCGTCACTCACTCGCATTTCGGCAAGATAGCCAAGGCGAAATGGGGATTCCAAGCATTTTAAGACTATCTTGGAACCGAACCATTCTACTTTTTCAGGACATCAAACACTGCTGCTTCAATCTACAGTCGACACTCTATAAACGCTACATCAAATACTTTTTGGAGAATGAAGATGGTTTGTTTAGCTTCCAAATGCGTAAACAGCTTTGTTGACCAGTTGTTTATTCTTAGACCATCTCGACATCTCGCAGCTGAAGACAAATTGGCAAATAGAAAATTCATGGGTGAAGAAGGGTACACAAGAAGGGGACAACAAGTGAGTCCTTTTGTGACTATGTATAGAAATTAAGTCTCTACTCAAAACAAAGGACAGTTGGTCTAAATACTTCAGTTATGCAATCGGTTCTTTTCCCTTTTTGAAGACGAAAATCTAAAAATTAGTATAGCTCGTTCTTTCGAATTCAATCTGAACTCTGTTGTATGAAAGCAAAATGTGTTTCCACATCAGTTGCAATGAACAGTGGAAGAAAACGAGTTTACGTTTTCACAGATATGTAAATTTGTCTAAAGGTCTCAATAAAATAACCTAAGTTGATTTCCATGAGGCATTGTCAAATCGAGTTTTTTATAACGATCTAAGTGCACATTCCCTTCCCCTATTCTTTCCATGATTGGCCATCTATTTCTGACATACACTCATGCTTTCTTGTTTCTTTCATTTACAAAAAAGTAACGTCTGTGAATTTTGGACCAAAAGTCGAATTAGTTCCGTCAAAGTTCCGCCGGTCTTTTTTCGCAAGATTGGATCGACGATAATAAGTAAAAAGAGATGCGATGAAGACTACACATAATGAACATGTGCTACGAAAGAACTTTTCGCTGACTATCTCACAAGGGGACAGTACAAGCAGAGCGACAAAGTATACATTTTCTGCGTATGTGTAGCTTTTTCTAGAAAATTTTGAGTGAGGGAATGTCAACTTTTCATTTTCGATTCTTTTCTGCCCTTTTCACATGAA